TGCATATTTTGGGCAATGCAAAGTACGAAAGCTGATTCTGTCCTGTAGCATCGTAGTTCAAGACTGGAAGTCGCCACCTGGCAGAATTAGGTCACGAGATTTCTTTGGGACAAAAATATTTTCTCACCTCCCCTCTTCACTGAAAGCACCACGTAATACTGTAAATGCTCACAGCAAATCTTCACAGGTTCCTGCCCTTGGTTAATGGAGTATGAACTGCTGAGGAACCTGTACCAAGCATGTAACGACACAACAGATTCTCGCTCCAAATTTATAAGCTGCAATGGCCTTAGTGTCAAAAGCATTTTATAATTCTTTATCTGCAAAAAAGTCCATTCGTAGCAAGGGGGCTTGAGAGAAAGTACCCTGAAGTGCTGTTTCACCTCAAGTTTCTAATCCCCCCACTAATCACTATTTCATCTTCCAGAGTTTAACGGATAAATAAAATAAAGTTTGAGAAAAAGTACTTTGGGATTACTGTAATCTATGGAACCAAGTCCGAGAGCGTTTAAGAAAAGATTATGTACTTTGAAACTCCTCTCCACTGGAGAGGACAGGAATAAAAATGTCAGACACTTCTCTTCTGCTTCCTGCATAGGGAAAAGAAAAAATCCATTTGAAAATTACCCCTACGTCTATTGCACTACCTGATGTGTTATTTTATTTATTTATTTCGTCTATTTTTCCAAAAACTCGTTCTCCTTTTTTGGAGGGGGACACAAAACCCATTTTCTTCCACAGCATAGCTGGTACTTGCTTTTCCCTGTGTGCCTTTGCATGATAGGGAGTAGCCGAGCATGTACTTACTTATGATAAATATACCAGTAAGAGTCTACCACAAAAAGGCCATCTTATTGAATTGAGGTGGCATATTTACTTTCCAATTCAGTCTTAATGGAACATGGATCTACTGCCTTTAGAAGGAAAACACTATCATCATGCAACGCAAAGACCTGACCAGGACCAATGACACCAGCTATTTGTATACACAAATATTGATAAGCTCTTTCACTCGCTGCCCATACGCAGGATGCTGTTCACATGCATCAGCTTTCCTCTGATTGGGACACTGAAGATTCAACATGTATTCTTGATGCTCTGAGACAGCTGTGCTACCAGGTGAAGCTCATTGGGATGTGCTGATCGAGGTGGGAAATTGGCAAATACATTCACTAAATTCATCTTTTTAGTGCAAGTATGTCAGCTGCACTCGATGGTTCCAATAAGGTAAATTTGAAAGCTCATTGAAATCAAAGACTAGAAGTTGACCACAAGATCAAATGCTGCAGAATGCATTTGAAGATTGCTTGGAACAAGTCTTGCACGGATTTTTTTTTTAACCAAGGAGGCAAGGGAAAGTTACAAAACCAAAACTTCCTTAATGGACATCTGAAAACCAGCAAGCATGAGAAAATGATCTTCTGTCCCTTCGAAAATGAACTATGAGCATTGTACAGAATTTAATAAACAGTCTATTTGTTGTCCCTCAAAGGTCAGTGTCCTTCTCCAACACTTCTCACATAACCTTATTCCATTTCCTTTTTGCTGTCTCCTTGTAATTCAGAAGACTATTTAGACTCCCATATGGATACCATCAAAACCAGCAGATGCCAAGCAACTTAAAGCACAAATTATGACTCGTAATATGCTGGCGCATCATAATCACAGCATATCTCATGACTTAGAGTGAATCATCAGATAAAGCATAGGTTGCTGTCTGAGGTGTCAGTGCTTTCTGTACATCCTTCCTATTAGGCTAGGGCCAGCGGACCCCAGTTGACATTGAGATTCCATGTTGAAAACTACATACATTTTTTTTTATTTTTTTTTAAATCAAGCACAGTAAAACACAGATAGGAATTTAAAATACTTCTCAGAACTAGAAATCAGCTTAGAAGTGCCTTGCAGAAGGGTAAGAAGGGGAAACGGTCGCTGCCTTTCAGGAAGCAAGGTGACCTACTTTCGCTTTTTGCATGATACCTTTGACATCGTTCTACATGGATGCCTAAATAGGGAGCGGGGAGGGGAGCTGGTATTGTTTGCTTGCTTGCTTTAACCACATAAAACTGTTTTCTGTTACCTAGAGATATTCAGAATAGACTACGGTTCACCTAGACAAAGACATAAAGGCTCACAGAAAAGCACCGACTGTTCCACCAGCCTGGAAAGGCAGCGAACGTCATGTGGTGCTTTCATGCAGGCATAATGCTGGTCAAGGTGAGGTGCAGGCACGTGCCCTAATGTACAACCAAAGGAGAATGACATCTGAGCAGCAAGAAGGGAAGCACAACATTGAATTCTGACTTTCCATTTAGATATCTTTGTGCCTGTTTGGTCTCAGTTCCTAAATATGACTTTGGCAAGCGCCAAGTGGGCACTTCCACGAGAGCACTGCGATCTCAAAGTTCTCCAAACAAGCACTTTCTGCCTATTTACCAACATCAGTGCTGGATATCAAAGAAGGAATTAAGCCTACAAGTATACCTAGAATATTAATTATGCATAAACTCCGAGGATAACGTCCTCTTCTGAAACGCAGAGACAAGAACACGCTGCCTGGGGTGGGGCAAGACTAAGAGCATATCTCCTTACGAGCATAATGTCACCCTCAGTCACAACTAAAGATACGGAGTGTGACTTCCCAAACTCATTAATCTAACAATTCAGTGGTGGTTTTTTAAGCAAAGGAACAACAGACTAGCACAACACCAAAAAAGCTGAGAAAAAGACCCGATAATTTATTTTGCCTATATTTGACAGCATATAAAGCCTCCAACATTTTTTTGTAATATCTCCAGTTTAAGTAGCGCGTACAATCATTCCCCACATAATTTCAGCAGATCTATAAAATTCCTCTATTCAAGGCACTGACAATTTTCTTGTCAAAACCATTAGTCTTCCAACTCGCTTGTCTTTATTTTTAGTCCATTGTTTTATGATGCACAATAGAGGGTATTTTCCATTTGTTTACATTAAAAATTTAAAGGTTGTGTTAAAACCAGCATTTAAGAAAGCTTGAGAAGTTTTAACAAAGGTGTTCTACGTATCTAAATGCCTGAAAGATCTCTGGAGGGTGTCACGGGCATGTCACGACGACCTCTTTATCATTTCAATCTATTTATAATGACTACATTAGCGGCTATTTTTGATTATCGCTGTCTGTGAACAGCTAACCAGGCCTCCAATTTTCATTTACAGATTTTTCTGGCCCAGCTTCGTGGGAGAATATCGAGCACTTTGCTATTAATTCAGTAAAAACTTTAAACCTGCAGGCAAGGGCGACAGGCTGAGGTCTTTGGATTACCGCTCTGGCGGCATGGAGCCACGCAGCCCAGCGAGACCTCCTTTAACCCATTCCCTCACACAAGATGAGGGCTTGCCACCACGCAGAAGCTACATCCACAAAGTGCCACTTCCACCATCCGCACCTTAGCCTTCAGAGAATAAGTGGAACAAAATTAAAGGGTAGGGAGCTTCTTACGGGCTGACAGCGCCTGAAGGAGCAAGATAACAACGCATTTATGTGCATTTTCCCTCCGTTAGTCCAAGGACGTGCCACACCAGCGTTCCTCACACGGCTCTGCTCCCTGCTGTAAAACATCTGTGTTCACAGCAGTGTGCGCCCATGGGAATCAAAACAGAAAGACAGACGAGCAAAGAGACCCATGACAAACTGAACCGCTAAAACTTGATCAAATAATAAAAGCAGCTACTGTAGGGTCAGGATAGTGCTTTGGAAGGAGTCGTCACCGCAGGCTTGTTTCTTAGGCCAAGTGCACTTTGACATACAGGCACGCAACCCCAGTCAATTTCACTCTACCAATGTACCTTCTCGGTTAAGGAAAGGCATTTCACTGTAAAAGCGTGATTAATATCAAAAGTCCCGTTCTTCCAAAACATCCTCTCCAGGCGCCTTTACTTTCCAGGAACACAGACAAAACGTTAGCTACAAGCACTTCTCCGCCAAGCACCTTCCTCTGTTCTCACCACAGCGGCGACCACAAGCTTAGCGTTAGCAAGGAGGCTTCTCTCCTCCATTACTCCTCACCTTCATCTTGAAGAAGGTGGTGGTAGGGGGTGAGCCAAGACACCTTTATGGTCCAAAAAAGACAACGTATGAAGTATGTGCCCACCTCACTTTCAGAGTTCCTTCGGAACATATTTACCCTACGTGGGTTTGTGCACGTTTGCCATCGCTAAATGGAGCATCTCATGAGAAGCTTTCACCCAACTTTGCTACTCCATGCAGCGCTCCTGTGCAAACACTTCACCCCTCAGCACAAAATTCTGAATAACACACCTCCAAACCCGACTGCTTGCACATCCGGACCCAGCTGCTCCTCTTTCAAGCCCGTCACACCGAGAAGATGCTAGAAATACCACCGTACCCCCGTGACGCTTCACCACACGGCTCGGTGCCCAGCGCCGGCACAGCACCACGAGCCTTGGTGCCAGCAGAGGACCGAGCACCGTGGCCAGGAGCCCCACTGACACCCCAACCGTGGGCACAGAGCGATCGGATCCGTGCACGGCCCCGGCGTTGTGTAACCCTTCCCCTGTTTGTTGGGAGAACTTGAGCCACGATTTATTTTTCCCCACTAACACATCACCATGCAGACACACAGCTCGATCCCCGCTCCAGGCCCATGCGTTTGGCTGAGCCCTCCCCCACCACAAACCGGTCTAAATGGGGAGGAGGGGGAGATGAAAAATCAAATTATTATCGTTTTAAGGATGAAAAGCTCTTGGCACCCACAACAAAAGCAATTAGGAGGGTCGGCGGGGCAGGGGAGCAAGCAGCCCCGGCAGGCGCAGGAATGCAGCGGCCGCACTTGGCAGGGGAAGGGAAGGGAAAAGAGGAGGGAAAAGGGAAAAAAAGGGGAAAAAAGGGGAAAAGGAGGGGGACACCCCATCCCCAGCCCCGTCCTCGAGGCCAAATGTCACGATGTGTCAGGACACGTCCCCCCGGGAGGAGGAGGGAGAGGAGCCCGGCCGCTTACCCAGAAAATGACATTGAAGCCGAAGATGAAATATTTGATGCAACAACTGACTTCAGGCCCCTTGTAGTGCTTCCCGGACATCCTCTGGGCTCATGAAGACACTTTGCTGGCGGCCAGGGAGGGGGAGAGAACCAGAAGAAGGGGAGGGGGGCGGAAAAATTAGAATGAAAAAAATTTAAAAAATAATAACAAAAATGAAAAAATAAAAATGAAAAAATAAAAATTAAATTTAAAAAAAATAAAATAATAAAAAAAAATAGATAAGGGGAAGGAGAGAGGGCTCAGCGCCGGCTGCGCGCCGCGGGGAGATGCGGCAGGAGCAGCGCGGCGGCTCGGCTCCGACTCGCCGGGCGCCGGGGATGGCCGGCGAGCAGCTCCCTCCTCCTCCTCCCTCTCCTTCTCCTCCTCCTCCTCCTCCTCCTCCTCTCCCGCATGGAGGAGGAGGCCCCGGCGGGGAGCAAAGGGGGGAAGCCGCCGGGAGGCGCCCGGGCAGAGGCGCGGGGGGCTCGGCGCTGCCCTCCCGCAGCCGCCGCCCGCCGCCCTCCCGTTCGCCGCCCCCGCAGCGCTCAACGGCCGCCGCGCGGCCCCGCCCCGCGCCATTTTGAGGGGGCTGGAGACCGGGGCTGGGGGGGGGGGAGCGCGAGGGGGCGGGTTCCAGTGGGTGATTGACAGCCCGCTCCGCCAATCAGGCCTCGCGGAGGCCCCGCTGGCTGCCCCGGGGTGCATGGCCCCGAGGGGGCTGCGAGGGGTGGGGGGGGCGGCTCTGAAATGGCGGCCGGGGGTGGGGGGGGAGCTGAGGGGTTTTGTCAAAAGTGCGGGTTTTTTTCGCTTCGTACAGCCCCAATATGCCTCCCCCGGCAAAATGGGCACTGAATTCATGTTTAACGTATTTATATTTAACACATTCCTACTTAACATACTCAACGTATTTACATTTAACACGTTTACATTTAACACGTTTATATTTAATGTAACCACCGCAGCCTCGTGTCGCTTAGATGCGTTCATACGCTTCGTGCAATTCAGAGCACACCCAGTCCGGTGTTAGCCACGTAACATATAACATTAGCCACTGAACAATGCTTTTTTTGGCTGAAGGGTATCGTCGCTTCAGCGCTGCCAGCCTTCAGCTTCCTGGCCCTGCGATAAGTGCGATGCTTTTACTTGAAAAGATGGAAGGCTTCTTTGTAATGACGAATTAGGTCTCCCGCCTCGATGAGGCTGCAAGACAACGTGCTTCAGAAGTAGGATATTGTGAGAAGTACGGGAGGCAGGCTTCGGTTCAGCATCACCTCGAGCTGGTTTGGGGGCCTTGGGCATGGGTCTTTAAGAGAGAAGGGAAACGAGAAGAGAAGAGAAGAGAAGAGAAGAGAAGAGAAGAGAAGAGAAGAGAAGAGAAGAGAAGAGAAGAGAAGAGAAGAGAAGAGAAGAGAAGAGAAGAGAAGAGAAGAGAAGAGAAGAGAAGAGAAGAGAAGAGAAGAGAAGAGAAGAGAAGAGAAGAGAAGAGAAGAGAAGAGAAGAGAAGAGAAGAGAAGAGAAGAGAAGAGAAGAGAAGAGAAGAGAAGAGAAGAAGCATTCACTGAAATAGATCGATGAAATAGATCCATGAAAACAAGCCATGTGTTAAATGGTAAATGAGAAATTAACGCGACACATACCTATACATTTTAACTGTGATGGGATAGGTTACCTTATGATCAATAACCCTGTGTATCTTGTTATTGTTAACTTTGTGTCTTTGCAAGACCACTCCTGGGAAGAGAGCAGGAAAGGATGGATAATCAGTAATACATAGGTTCTGTACCAACGAATAAAAGCCTATCACCATGTACAGTATGGTAATAGAATATTATATTGAGGTGCTGTTTTTACAAGTGATTTCAAATATTGGTGACAACCTGTACAAACATTGATAATGCTGCTGTCACAACACCCTGCTAACACCACATGTTGGCACCCTTTAGCATTTTAATGCTTCACAGGCAACAGGAAAATATTGCGGAATAATATTTATTACAATAAATTCAATAACAATCTCTGATGGTTTACCTGTCAAACCATTCACTCCTGATCAACAGCTTAAAAAGAAATGCAACCTACGTCAATTATAGCATCGCATTACATGCCTTCATTTGCATTTTCAATCGAGAATAGTATCATCATTGCCAAGTGTCATTTCAAAGTCAAAAGCTTTTCATATTTTCTCACCATCTGATCAGATTAAGAAGAATTTAGGACTTCTAGTGTTAATGGTTAGACTGCACACTTCAAGAGGGTATTGAACACAGAGCCCTGGTCTTTTTAATTCACTTTGTGTGTACGGTTCCTGTGCAGCCTCAGAAATGAGCAACCAGACAGCAAAGGCAGCAGAACAGCTTTGATGTAGGTAATTGATCTTTCAGAGTGCCAGCTGGAACAGAGTCCTCTGCACCTGCAGCAGCCTCTCTGGTTTACAAACACATTTTGTCTCCTGTCCTAAACAAACAGGAATAAAAAATAAATAAATAAATAAATAAATAAATAAAAATCCGTTGGCTTTGTGCCATCACTTGTGGATCACTTCTTACATGCTTTGGCGACCTGCGTCTGGAAACTGAGCAGGACTGGCTGTGACAGCACTTTAAATTCGGTGTTAGTTACTAGACAACACTGAGTTCCAGCGTGATGTCTTGGTGCAAAAGCCGGAGGCAATACTATGCAGGAGTGAGGAGATAACATTACCTTTCCCTGCAGCGGGATGAGACAGTCATTCAAATTCCGTTACTTTATAATCCATCTGCCTAGTCACTGGAGTGCTAAGGGAGAGTGTTTCAGGGACAAAGCCATGCTTCTAGTAGCCCAATGCTTCACAACACTAGGCAACGTTTTGATTCACTGCTTGCTCCGGAAAAAAAGTCCTATCTGAATGATTAAATCTACTTCCAGTCTCTAAGATCTAAGCATCAACAGAGTTCTGACCAAAGGCTGACCAAGTCTGATGCTAGCAAGTGCAGGAAGTTTGATATATCCATATCTTAAAAGGGGTGTATTTGCAGACTCCGAAATTCTTGCTTCACACCGAGTAAAGAGCTCTCATCCCAATCCCTCAATTCAGTCATTTCTTAGATCCAGCACCTCTGTCTTTGTGTCAGCCCCTGGGTTTTGATCTATGAGTTCTTAGACGTTTTCCAGGGAAAAAGAAATGCAAGTCAGAGTGACTTGAGATGAAAAATGGCTAAGCAGTGTATTGAAGATGGTGGTTCTGTGAGTTATCACATTACTAATCTCACCACGTGCCACATTTAGTGAGATAAAGAGTTGTGGTCTAAGAAAAGCTCAATGTCTGTGTCTCTAAGTCTAGTTATTTCCCGGACACTTCATTTTGGTTAAAATTCGTACAATAGCAATATTTTTCCATTGGGAAGCCATAGAGCTTTCTGACATACAAGATTTATGGAGTCAGAGGTATTACCTACCACAGGATACTTTTCCATCTAGTTACCCTACTAGCTTGCGATGCCTTTTGTGTTCATTTGGTACTCTTGCAAGCATGAAACCCCCTTGTTTTCTGCTTAGGAAATGAGTGTCCTCTAACGAGTGAGTGTTTTTTAGGAATAAAAGTAGTTTTGAGATAAGCATTTCATAGGACTGTACTCAGGTGTTGACACAAGTTGTGTTGGCTTCAGTGGATTTACATGCCCAGTCCCAGCTGTGAACCTGACTTCAGCTTCCCACAAGAATAACACAGATCTGTTTCAACTCATTCACAAGTGCAAGTACAAACTAATTAGCATTCTGGATAACACTGTTTAGTGGCTTTCTGGTGAGCACTGAGTTGCTTTTTCTGCCCGAAACTTAGCCTGTGAGTACTGAATAATATCCTCTCGCACCACCAACCCAGTGCCATTAGAATTTGATAACACCAGCATTGTTGGTAGGATGAGTCACAAAGCATTAAGCATGCCTATACATCTACAGAGAGAGAGGCCAGAATCTGGGTGCACCGAGTAGTAAACAATAACCACTTGCATTACGTCTCATTTTACTTCCTCAAGACTACGTGTAGCTGAGCCTTAATTGTCTTTGTTCAAATGCTGTACTTTTGGTGTAAGGATCTATTACCTCTTTTGTTCTTACAGTAAAAGTGCCTGGATAAAGAAACCACAACTTCTATTCACTGCAGTTCCCACCAGGATTTGGCAGGTTTTCGAAGAAAGATGATCGGAGCCACTAACTAGGATGCAAATTACTTAAAGAGAACCACCAAGGATCAGCAATAACAGTCACAAGAGCTACTCAGCCAAGCCCTACTGCTTGCCTCCTGCAAGTTGGTTTGCTCAAGATGAGCCCAGACAAGTCTGGCAGCACTCTGAGCAGGTAGACACGAAGACACAGCCTCAGAAGTTCCTTTGGATGTGCAAAATGAGATACGCAGACCATTAGTGCCAGAAATACCACTTTCAAACACTAAGGAATAAGGCACCCTGCTATCGCTTTCTCGCAAGAAAAAGCAGTGGGTGGGGGGAGGTTCTATTTTTTGCTTTGGTTTGTTGCTTTTTTTTTTTTTTTTTTGTGCCAGGCACCTCGAGGCAGGAGCTGCTACCTCTGCTGCTTGTGAGAGGAAGAGGTGTGAGCGGTGGCAGGCTTCCGCCCTCACGCTTTGTGGTCGAAGGCAGCACCATTGTGCTGCTCGGGGCAAGCACCCTGAAGCGCTGATCTGATCCTGTCATGCAGCACCTCAGCAAGCCCCTGTTCTGGAGGTTTTCACAGAGAGCTTTCTCAGTAATTCCCCTGACTTGTCTGTACACCGTCGAGGCAGGAACAGTCTGATGTACCTGGTCCACAGCTCGCTAACACGCGGTGACTGCAGATGTGGTTGCAAGCACCAGCCTTTTATATCCAAACAGGCTCCAAAGAGCATTAACTATCACATACTTCTTACCATTTTGTACACAGGATGGTGACAGGACTTAATGAGGTAAAAACATATACTCCATTCTACAAAAGAGACTCACGTTTGCAGTCCCAAATTAGTGGCGACTACAATTCACATGTGGGCAGTCCCCTCCCCTTTCACTCCTGGTGCCACGGGGCCACTGTAGCTAATAGGGATGTAAATTTAGACTCCAGTAACATATCCTTTCAACTTTGTATTGCTAAAAGCACTGGACAAACTCTGCAGATCTGGAAGCGGTTCAGTTCCCAAACAGAGACATTTGTGTGTGTGTATCTGAAGGTGCTAGTGCCATTCTTTTGGATATTCTGATCCCACAAGAAACTGGTGTTTATCCCATGGTGGAGTACTGTACCATTTCCTTAGGTTAAGGTCCATTAGGTTTTCCAAGGCCCTCTGAATTGCTCCCAGCCATTCTTCATCAAATAGCAGAGGACACCCTCGCTTCACAGCTCAGAGGTTTAACATATGGTGTTTACTCCGTAACAGCACTCAGGAGAGTGAGGATTTCCTCTGAGTGTGTTTTTAATGGTGATAACATTTTCTGTAAATCCACCATTTCAAGTAATCTTTGTGTGTATTTCTCTTCAAGGGTTCCCTTTACTCCGCCGTAAGCCAGCTGAGCTTCCCCATCCCTCTTCCCGTGTGGATCTTTTTCTTACCTGGGAGCCTGGGATCAGAGCTGTCCAGACGAGCAATCCCTCAGGACCCAGCCCAGCATCCCCTTGCAGGCAGATCTGTGAACCCATCAGAAGGTGAGGGAGGGGGAGCAGGAGGTAGGATGAGGGACCACAAATCTGGTTGTCGAAGGCTTTAAATGCAAGTTGCACTCAGAGAGGTGGGAGGGGAGGATAGCAGAGCAGTTCACCCCAGAGCCCAGCTTTTAGAAAAGATTTCAGCTTTGGGCTGGCCTGTACTTGAGCTAAAACTTGTTGAAGTAGATGCTTTGTTGCCTCGGTCAGGAATTCAGCCCTCAGTGCAGGCAGAGCCTTAAATCATCTCACTGAGAAAGGAGTGGGAAAAGCCGACTACAGAACAAGCTCTTATTTTGAATTCAAGCAATGCTTTTCCCATTGTTTCCTGATTCAAATGGCTGTAGAGATGCTGTATTATGAAAGGCCTCTGTGTCACTGCGGAGCCAGAGCCTTCACGGCAGAGAACAGACCCAAAACCCCCAGGAAATAAGGTGCCGGAGTGAGTCAGCCTCTGGCAGGGACACGTTTCTTCATCCCAGCTATGGCAGTAGCAGTGGCAAAAGAGCTGCCACCCTTGCTGCAGTCCCTGCCTGTCAGAAAACACGACAGAGCATATCCAGGGCCTCTAAATGTTTGCTGGGAAGGTACAGGAGTACTGCAAGTGATCTGATAATCCCAAAGGAAGGTGGCTGGTATGTTTAACGTGATTTCTTCACGATTTTGTGTCCAGTTTTTCTTCCACAGCTTCTCTGTTCACATCTGACAACAGTTACCACATAGCAGGTTCAAAGACACCGCAGTTTCCTGTACCTTTAGCATGAGCACTTCTGAGTTCTCAGACATAACACGAAGACACCTGCCACCGCAAATGTCACACTTTTCATAGCACCAGCTGGGCAAGGTGGGTCCAGACTTGGTTTGTGGGCTATTCTCAATTGCAAAGTTACAATTCATAAATAACCTGCACACATGACTCCTCAGACACCTTTAAAATGAAGATGCTTCAGGAACATACAGAATTCACTCATTTACAAGTCCAGTAAGTGGAAATGTCCATGCCTGTTTTTTTAACTCCCTCCTGTTACATTGACAAAGCCAGAAACCATCCTGTGGAGGAGAACAGAGGCGCCACCAATACTCTTGTCAGGTTGTACAATTGCTTTTGAAGTCTTATTTTTCAGAGGCTTGTAGTTTTCTGCATGCTTCAGTGCCTGTGTTACACTGAGAGTTGGGATGGGTGGAGTTCATTTTAATTTCCTGCTTCTCTCTACTGCACTAATTATACCATCAGCTTTTTTTTTTTTTTTTTTTTTTTTTTTTTGCTGTCATAGTCCTTTAAGAAAATTACACTGCGAGCGACTGACACCTGAGCCAATATTTGGAGAAAGAGAAGAAATCCTACCCCAGGCGTACTTCTGTTTCCATTGCTACCTTACTATTTCATGTGCCACTCACCTTTCAGCTCATCTTCGGCATATCCTCAGCCTCTCACGTAACTGCTAGAGTGCCCTGCGATTTCCAGGCTTGCTGTGTTAGATTATACTGCCTTAGAGGCAGGGACTGCGTGGCTCCTTGCTCCAGCAAATGGTCAGCAAAAAATGCTAGTGTTGTGACAGCAAAACAACCGAAGTAATCTTAGTTTTAAAACGTGCTTCTCCATTGTTTTGACCTCAAGGATACAGATATATCTACAAACACAGAATGTGGACCCAGTAAATACAAAGAATGGATCTGAAAATGAAAAAAAAAAAAAAGAGACTAAGGGGAAAAAAAAAAAAAAAAAAAAAAGAAGTAACATCTTCAAGAAACAGATGCATAATTTATCTTTCTTTCTTTATCTGCCTTTCCGGCAGAGAACATCTGCCTGTTGAGGTAGGCCTGCTCATCAGTGCAGTGTGTCAGTCTGCTGTCACCAGGGAAGCTGATTTTTTTTTTTCTGTTACCCAGAAGTATAACTTTTTGGAAGAGACTGTCTGTGAGCAAAATAATTTTTATTTGGACAAGGAAAGCTAATTTGGGATAGAAATGGCCCTCCTGAGCAAAATCAGAGTGACCATAAATGCCAAATTTCTAAAAGTTTTGCAATTTGTACCTTATCAGATTCACCAGAGCAAGCTATGTGGCTGCTATGCCATGGCTTTTCGGGACTTTATTGTGCTCTATCCCAGTCTGAGGGATGAACCAACGAATGTGTGAAACTCCCGCATGCACCTCTGAAATAAAGAGACTCAATTAAAGTTGTTTTACATCTGCAATGGAAGGCAGAAAGAACTGCAAAAGGGAGCTTTTTCTTTTTACTTTCCGTCTTGTGAAACATTCATCGCTTTCTCAGAAATTAGCACAGCTCTTTCGGTATGTTTGAAAAAAAAAATAAAAATGAACTATTCATCATAAAATTAAATTTGCTAAAAGCATAAGCTGTTTAAACATGTTGAGTTATAAAGGGGGTGGGCAGAGAGTTTACAAGAAGTCCATTGTTCTGCCCTAAGCATTGTCAGTCTGAGAAAACAGAGCTGGACAAAGAGGAGGTCCAGCCATCTAGTGGTAAATTGCATTGATGTGCAGCATGCTGAAGTCTGCCTGCCATGGGGAAGCTCACAGATGTGTTCTGTAGGGGAAGAAAGAGACATTTTACCTAACTCTTCCCAAATTTTAATGCTGCAGGACTCTGCTGGAGTAGGATGTCTTGGTAACAAGCTCAAGTGCATAGGAGCCAGCAGCTAAGTTAGGAGAAATGCTGGTAGAAGTAACCGGGTGTATTGGGTTTATGTGGCAAACACAAGGCCAGGTTTTGCTCGACTGAGACAAGCAAAACCCCAAAAGTCTGCAGCCAATGTTATCTTTTTCACCCCTAGGGTGACAGACACCAGAAATAGCTTACAGTGATTATTCAGATGGGTAGTTTTTGTTTTGTTTGTGGTTTTTGTGTGTGTATGTGTGTGTTTTTGTGTGTTTGTTTGTTTTGTTTTGTTTTTAGAATATATCTGTGTCCTTGGGAGCTTGGACTTGTTGCCCGTGCAGCCGTACCAGAAAACGGGGGCAGTTTGCTGTAGACCCTTAGCAGAGAACAACATTTCTAGAGGATGTGCCCAACAGAATGGTGCAATGCTCGCGGGTCCCACTTCACCCAGGGGAAAGAGTTGTAAGCCAAATTGGTTGTCATGACTGAAACAAGGAGGATGCAACCAAACAGCTACACGGAGGAAGCCGTATGCTTAGTTCAAGTTAGGATAAATCAGTTACCTACCAAATGCATCGAGCGTGAACGGTTTCATATTTTCAATATGGTTACAAACTTGTAGAAGCAGCTTAGTCTTGGCAAGGCCTGAAGAAACATCAGAGCAGTAAAACATAAAGGGAAGTAAAACATCCAAGGGAAGAGTTGCCAGAGTTCCCACTTCAAAAATCTCCGTGCTTAGAAGCCCACGTCCACTTGAAAGCAGTGGGATGCAAGTTCTGGGGGGCCTCATATGAAATTTGCTTGGCATCTGGTGGGACAACCTGAGCATCCTGACCATGAAATGGCCATCACTTTTGATGTCAACTGAACTTCAGCAAAAGCATAAAGCCGGGTGTCTGTTTACCCAGCTCCAGATGCAAGCGCTTTACTTACCACAGCCGAGATTAAAGATACTGCCTCCCTACGTAGTAACAAGCAATTGATTTCCATCTATATTTGTCAACCCATGGAGTAACAGAGCATGGCATTACATTCCCTGTTGCTACATCTTCCCCCGAGCTATTCTGACTGCTGCTGAATTCTTTTGAAATATCAAGTTTTGTCCAAAGCACATCCCGTTCCTGGCTTTCATACCCTTGAAACTGCAGTGCAATTTGTACTCGGCCACAAAACACGGCCGAAGTCCAGTCATGGCTATGCCCAGCAGAGCCAGGTAAACACACAATAATTCTGTGAAACTGGCTACTTTCTGCCATGATTGAGAACTTTTGTAACTGAAAGCGAGGTTTCATTGCGAGCAGTTGCTGCAGCGTTAACTAATTTCAGGGTACACGGTTGTTCTTTATCGGAAAACACAGCACTGGAGAGAGCGTGGAGGACAATGCTTCCCTTGAGGCAGAGGATATCCGAAGTCAGCTCAGGCAGTGCAACTTGCTGACAGCCACTCGCATGGAAAAAGAAATACAGCTGTTTCCTACCAGGGTGGTATCAGCTACTACATCTCAGACTCTCACTTCTCTTTGCATCATGTTTCTATTACCTGCAGCGGACAGCTGAAAAAGCAAGGGAGAACAACACATCTGGCCGCTACTTCGGAGTGCTATTTGCCATTGATTCTCCCACCAGAAACTGGCAAGTCGATAGGGATGCAGATTCATCATGAAGATTTTGCCAGTTCTGTCCTAGGAGCGTTTGGCCACGGAGAAGCTGAATCTCCCAACGAGCAAATTATGCTCATCTTGCATGCAGCCTTAACCAAACGTGACCTTACCCCTGACTAACAGCAGAAATAAACCATGCCCCTGCTTCGTGCCATCAGGCTTTGCCCCTCTCTTTCCACCGATGGATCCCACCTGATATTTGCATTGAATCCTACTCCGCAGCCCTTTCAGAGCTGTCTGAAGCTGTGGACGTTACAAGGGAGAGAAGGAGCAGAAAAGCTGTGCTTTGTACCTCTGTTTTACCCACTGGGAGGCTGAGACAACAAGCAGGCTTTAGTGGACTTTCTTACAGCACCCCAGTAAATCAGAGGCCAGGTTTGAAGAGCCCAGAGGCCTGAAGGTGCTGCCTGTTCCTGGCCGCAGCACTCAGTACGAGAACAGGATGCTAGATTTGAGCGTCCTGCTTCAAAACCTCTGCTATTTCATTTTTCCAAGTGAGAAGGGGCTTGTTTTGAGGAATAGTACCCAAATCTGCATCCCTTTGTCTTATATTTAGGATATTCACTGGATATGGGGCTGTCTGCACTCGGGGCACCACTGTCGTGCTTCCTCTGTAGGTTGCTAGCTGCGCTCTTCAGACACTGTGGTTATTTTTGAAGCAGCTCCTTCAAACAGATGTCCTCATATGTATCTCTTCCCCTCTACGTAAATAACAGTTTGCCTCATGCTCCTGCCATCCTTCTGATCTAAAAAAAAGGAGGGGGGAAGAAGAGTATCCCTTCCCACTGGTGATTTCTCTTGCAGCTTTGGTGGCACTCCCCTGTTGCCTTCACGTCCTTCTGTAGCTAGCTACAAAGACTTTTTCTTACCATCCTTCTTTCCCTTCCCAGGTTCTTCCCTCTTTAGCCCCTTTCCAGCTCTCTTCCCTTCTCCTTCTGTTGACTTTTGGAAGCAGTGCTAACACCAGGAGTCTCGCAGAAACTTCCTCTCAACTAATATTACCAAGGACAGATCCACACACAACAGTTTGTCCTCCTCACATCATAGCAAGCAGTGCCATTGCTTGCCAGCTGCGAGTGTCTGTTTTGGGCATTACTTACCCTTCCCTGGGAAGGAATCCTTCTTACTCACTTTATCCTTCATTTTTTTACTCCTTCATTTTTTTTTATTCCCAAATAAGTCAATTCAGTGCCTGCGAAATGGATGAGAGGCACGGATGCTGCCACGTTCCTGCAAACCTGACAGAACTGAGCCGGTAACACCAGCAAGAGCCATCCGATCACATCGCTGGAAAGAGCTGAACCAAACCTCTCTCATTAAAAATCAAGTCTGGGACACCACTGCCAGCTCTCAGAGGATGGGCTCTGCTCTTCCACAGAGCAGCAAGCCCCGACTTGGGCTTGTGGTTTCCAAAGAAAACTCGGAGAGCTGCCTCAGCCCCAGGATTATGTAACTTCTGAACGTCTATTTTTAGGTGTTGAAGCCAGGGGAATCAGCCAAACAATCAATCAGCGCAGCCATCCCGATGATTAAAATATGTGCTGACTCAAAGGAGAACACATGAAATCAAATATCCTTGAGGACATTTAGCCTAAATGTTGTTCTGTGGCATCTTTTACGCGCTCAGGGACTGGTTCTGCTTGCCTGGCCCACAGAGTATCCTCGTGGGTTTGAAGAGGACAGGTCAATAAGGCACTTTTTGTGAGCAGAGGAAACACGCACAAGGCAGCAGAGGTGGTGGCAGACTAATTGTACAGGCCTCAGGACTTTGATTCCCTATACGAAATCCCAGCCCTGAGCAGATCAATAGGGGTTGGTGATTTTGGCTGGGGGTGGAGAGATTTTACCACACGGCTCAATGGGCAACACTCCCACCAAAACACAAACCAAAACCCATCTGCTGGAACAAGAGAAGAATATTTTCCTCTGTAGCCAAGGCCCTACACACAGACACCCATGACACCGCTGGAAGCTCAAACAAGAGAGTGTAATCTGTAAAATGAGACATCTCAGAGACAGCCCTGCTGGTTGTAATAGCATTCCTGAACGGTTAGCACGGTCACAGACAAGGAAAGCGGGATGCCAAGCAAGGTTTCAACAATTGCTAAAGCAGCTCAGTCATCTTTGCTTCTGAACAAATATAGCCTAAGTGGCAGAAGCACGATCAGACTGTCCATTTCCATTCCTCGTCTTGCCGGATGTCTCTGGAAGCAATGTCCTGCGGTCTCGGATAGCAGCAGGAGATCAGCTGCTGGTGGCACCGGGAATATAAACAGACTGTAATACAGGGAGAGGGTTTAAATCAGACTAGCGAGGCTTGGACTGTTTCTTTTTGCTTTTTGCTTTTATCTTCTGTTTTTGTTTTGTTTTTAAACCACGTACTCTCTCTTAGCAGCTGTGCTCCCCCTAATGCTAGAAGAGGAAAACAGCCTTCTTTTATTCAAGGCTGTCTAAGAGGAGATTCAAAGATGCTTCCCACACAGACAGCCTTTCCACACCCTGTGGAGGGTTTCAGCCTCACGTTACAGCTCCCAGCATGGCTCGGCCAACAGCAGAAGCTGGGAACACAAGCCTTGCCTGCTGGGCACAGCTCTGTGCTCCCCCGTGAACTATTACACAGCTGCTGTCTTAGCACGGAAAACATGTCTCTGTTGTGATTTCAGGAGGTCGTTGGCCCAGCCACTCAACAACGGAAAAGGGAAAACTTTAACTGCTGTTTCCTGCCAAAAACAAAAACTAAAAAAAAAAAAAAAAGAAAAAGAAAGAAAAAAAAGGAAAGCAAACCACAAAACAACCTAACACAAACCTGGAGACATTACACTATAGGGTTCCAGCTACTGGGCCTGTTAGAAAACAAACAGCCCCCTGGATGAACAGGCTCCAGTGAGAGGCAGGGGATCAGGTCACGTAAAACAAGCAAGTTTCTTCTCCATCACCCTGTAAGATAAGGGTGGGAGCAGGTTGAGGGTGGCAGGTGGTGGCGCAGGACTCCTGCTGCTGCTGGCCCTCTCCCCATCCCCACCAGGAGGACACCTCTCACCTTCCTCCATCCCACAGCAGCCCAGCTTTCTCCTCTCACCATCCTGGCAGCCAGAAAAAATCACGGGCGGACAAGACACCATGCCCCCGGCAATGGAAAGAGCTTGCTGCAGGTCATCTCTCTCCTCACCCTGGCACACAAGTCACGCTACCTCCTCCAGGCACCTTCTGAGCCCTGCTGCACCAGCTGAGGGAAGAAAAAAATAGGGTCGTTTTAGTTAATTTTAAGCCAGTGAAAGCTGATTATTGGTTAGCAAGCCTAATCCACGCCTGCTGTCTAAATACAAAAGGAAAAGTGTGCATGTTTTCCTTTATATAACAGAGAAAAACAGAATAGGAGGAAAATCTCTTTGGGAATCATGAATCAGAGGAGTTGATGAGAGCTGTTCAGTTTGATCCTTTTTCTTCCAAACTATCACTGCAGCCAGGAGCTGAAAATTCAGCTGCACTAAAGCTCTCGGCAAAGTGTGGTCAGCTGTGTGCTATCAACAATCTCGCCCCACAGGCTAGCCCACTTGCACATTGGGAAAAATAAATAAATAAATAAATAAAGATATCCCTGCACGTCAGAAGCAGTAAATTTCAAAACCAGCAGAAATTTAGATGCTCACAACATCAGGGAACAAAGGTGCAGCGATACATGTCATGCTGACTGGATCAAGCCATTGGCAACAGGCGTACTTTGACACCAAATCCTCTTTCTTCACGTTTAGGTGTATTAACTGTTTGAGTGAGGGCTTCCTCCCACATATCTATTTTCTCTCTCCATTAAGGCATGGCTTTCTGCCACACAGGGAGCAAAATATGCTCACCTTCTTTGTCAGGTCACAGAACAACTCCAGCCGCTCTTGAAGCCGAGCAGTCTCCCTGCTGCTGCTGCCACTTGAGTCTCACATGGGCTGATTCAAAGGCAGCAGACTTCAAAGCCGCGTCAAGCAAAACTGATCCATCCCTCCTGTGAAAAGCACATAGGAAAAGGCAAAGGCGGGCGAGGACAGTCTGCAGATCTTCTAAAGTCATTTGGCATGAGAGTGGAGCTGGACTGAAATGAAAGCAGTGCAAGGAGGCTGGCCAGGCTGCCTGCATCCCCTGCAGACAGGGGACCGAGGAAGGTTGCAGCCTCATCTGTGGCTATAACCTGTCTTGGCACTCTGACAACAAAGCCAAAGAAAAAAGAGTAACACTTGCACTCCAATTCCCTTTCTTTTTCTGCAGATGGCAAACCCTCAAATTTTCACACTGCTTTTATGCCCCCCCATGTGTCATCATAGCAAATATTTGCAGGACATGCAGTGATTCTGTTTGACCTCCTTCTGAGCTGTCTCCTCCTTAGACGCAGCTTCTCCCTTCAGCTTTTTGCTTTGTAGTCTTTGCTTTTCAATTTGTGCTGTTTCCTGGGAGGATATAGGTGTTTCCCTCCATACCTCGCTGCGGTGGTGAAGCCCACCAGGTTAAGCCTAAAGCCACATCTCTATTGCACTCGTACTGAGGCCATGCATCCCTGCTCTTCTTAAGGTTTTCATTATAGACGCATACCAGATATACTTGGCCCATATGTACAAGGCTGAATGGCAGTCTTAAAATACTTGAATTCCTTTGAATTTGAGCTACGATTAAAATTTTAACTAGGGTGAGTGCTAGCAAAATGGCACCCGCACTGCCTTGTAGGTCTATATAGTCCCTAAGTGAAAAAGCTTATGTTAATCTTGGGAGTCTTAAAACCAGTTTCCGAAACACATGGAATAGAGTTAATGGAACCAGCAGCTCCATGGGTCAACTGCACTCAGTCCTGATGCCTCATGCTGGGGGTGGACTCCTACAGGCAAGACTTCTATGAGTAACTCTTTGATAAGTATCACCCAGACTGTCTGGAAGGAGCTCGATATCATTTAGTTTGTTGCAAAGAGACCAGGAGCATTTCTTGCAGGCTTTCAAACCAAAGCAGTCGTTCTAATGAGAAAGAAATCATGAGCATGTGCCTGGACATCTGAAGCTTCATGACATGCAGAGACAGAGAAACTACTGTAAATGGACACCATCATCAGTAGCAGGATCTTGTAAATGTTCCTAAGTTTGTAAGTGCTTTTCTTTAGGAGTATTTGAAGAAATGTGCCAGAGGGGTATGAGTCTGCCACTGGGAGCCTTGCTCCCCCACAGCTATCAGCATCTACTCACCCTCAGTGCAGCTGCCTTGTTATCAGCAAATCCCACAAAACTCCTTGCAGAGCAGCAGGCTGGTCAGGTTATCTGGCTGCCTTAAAGCTGTCTCTTTCTGACAAATACCACAAGTTCTGGTCTAGCAAGGGGAGACTTGCAACAGTAAAACAAGTAATAGCACCCAGCAGTAGATAAAGCCAGAGTCAGAGCCAATGAATACATCCAAGGGGAAGCCTGGCAGTGTCAGGCAGCCAGGTAAGTTTGAAACCAAGATTTCCACAAAATGATAATGACTGACAGAAGCTGCAGATCAGATCCCTCATCCAAGGCATGTCCCCGGGCTGGCAGGATCACAAGCACTGTACAAGCAGGAGGCCTGGGCCTTGTCTCTGGTTGTGAGAAAAGGCGTAGCCTGAGCCTACATCAACTAAGGCAAGGTAACTACTGCTGGGTAGGTGAGAGCAAGCCAGCCGTAGTTTTAGCAAGAGCTAACAGGATGAAGCAACACAGGTTGGCATCAGGAAGTGCATAGTTCAGTGTGACTCACACTAAAATGCAAACTGCTCTGTCCGTGATAGGATGTGAACTATCACGCACTAATAACACATCTTTTTTTTTTTTCCCAACCAAGCACGTATCCATAAAGTCAGAGAGCAGGAAGCACATCCTTCCCCTCTTAGGTAAACCCATCTAAAGATGTGGAACATACAACACTGTGTCATTTCTTCCATGAGGCCACTTCCTAAGACACTTTATCTGAAGCAGACACTAAGCGCAGCCTATGCATTACACCTCGGTCCCTAACACAAGTACAGTTGCTTCAATTAAATCTGAGGACTGAATTGTGTGTCTATACATCTTAGATTCCTTGCCCTGTGCTTTTATTCACAGGAAAATAGGTTATAGCTGGGATTTTCTGTTAATTTGAGCTTGTCTTCGCACACTTATTCAGCCACCTGCTGAGGCGATCAGCTCCAGGGCAGCAGAGAGAGGGATCGAGGCTTTTTCTGGCTTTTTTTCTGGCTTATTATCCTGCAACAGGCAGAAAGCTCTTTCTAGAAAGCCTGTGGTGACCCAGGCTGAGTGCCCGCTCAAAAATGTGGCAGCTCAGGTCTCTGCCATCTGAGGGAGGCAGAGACACCGTGTGTGAGGTGCAAGTAGAGCTCGAGGTGTGAGGTGGCAGAGCTTGAGGATGAGGTGGAGAGGTTAAGGGCTATCAGGGAGTGTGAGCAGGAGATAGACTGGTGGAGCAACTCCCTGCCAGGCCTGAAAGAAAGGCACAAGGGTGAGACACCCCAAATACCCGCCCTGAGGCTTAGGCAGCTAGCAGAGCCTCCACAAGAAATATATCACCCCCTACTGCCTTTGCTGAGTGCACCCTCAGCAAGTTTGCGGATGACACCAAGCTGAGCTGTGCAGTCGATACACTAGAGGGAAGGGATGCCACCCAGGGGGACCTGGACAGGCTGGAGAAGTGGGCCCATGAGAAACTAATGAGGTCCAACAAGGCCAAGTGCAAGGTATTGCTGGGGCAATCCCAGGTATTTATATAGTCTGGGCAAAGAAGTACTTGAGAGCAGCCCTTGTGGAGAAGGACTTGGGGGTCCTGATGGACAAGAAGTATGTGTTGATAGTGATAGGACAAGGAGGAATGCTTTAAACTAGGACGAAAGATTTAGGTCAGAAATTAGGAGAGAGTTTTTCTCTCACAGGGTGGTGAGGCACTGAAACAGGATTCCCAGAGAGGTTGTGGATGCCCCATCCCTGGAGGCAACCCTGTCCAGAGCAGGGGTGTTGAAACTAAATGATCTTTAAGGTCCTTTTCAAGGTCCCATTCTATGATTCTATGATTATTGAAAGATTTATAGCCCTTTGCCCCATGAATGTAAAACAAATTATATTAAAAAGCTATTATGTCGAATGTCTGATATTTTTGTAAGTACAAGAAAAGTTTTTGTTAATAAATTACAGTAAGGAGATGTGTGAAAGCTGGTTTTATAGAGACAAGAAGACCGACATTCATTAAGTTTCTCTTACAAGTAGAACTTGTGCACAAATAAAGCACAATTGTTTTAGACATATTTCTATCTTTGACAAAACCTTTGCTAGTATTTCTGTCTTCAACTAAATTCAACTGGGAAAGATTTAAATTTTATTTCAGTAGACAATGTGATACATCTAGATCTGATAAGACATTTCTTTGGCAGAGAAAAAATAACAAATAATCCTACATGGGGGAATTGTAGCAATTACAGCAGGGTCAGGCTTTCTCCTCCTTTGCTGACACCAGCCTTTTCAAACATGAAAACTATGCACCTGAAATTCATGCTCTATAACAGAAAAAATATCTATGAGGACTGCTTTTTTTTTTTTAATTTTTTGTGTCCATATCCATATTTATCATTAACAACAGTTCCTTCTGTTTTACAAGAATTTACATGAATTTATTTATTCTAGAACAAAATGAAACGGAAGAAACAAAACCCTTCCTCTCATGTAGCGCCATCTTCTCCTCTTGTGAATCCGATCTTTTGCGAGATTTCCAGCTTTGCCATTCTGTCATCCAGGATAGGCGAAATCTCAATTTGTCATGTAAAGAGTAAGCAGAAAAGAAAAGTTAAGATATCCTCAACCACCACTCTCACTTCAGCCTTCCTTCATACGGAAGAAAGTAGTCAAAAATAGGATTCAGCTGAAGGCATTTATTCATTTGATGGTCAGCATCACAATAAAGGCTACTGTAGCCACCTTAGGCACCTCTGAAAGGCTTTTTTTTTTTTAATATATATTATTATTTATTTATTATTATATTTATGGAGGAGAGAGCCTGAGCTCTGGAAGAAGGCAGCATGAGGGAAGAGGCCTGTGCTCCCCTGGGGGACCAGCCCCACGGGAATGCTCCTCAGGCTTCCAGTCCAGGTGAAGGTGGCCTGCACCTGAGGTCCTGCTGCTGGATGGGTGCAGCTCAGGGCTGTGGATCCCATGGAGGGAGGGGAACGTCCTCAGCTCCCTCACCGTGCCGGGGGAAGATGAGCTGAGACGTGAGTCATCTCTTTCCTCATACCTCTTGTTTGACAACAGAGTTGAGCCGGCCAACGCTGACTTTCCCTGGCAAAACGCCTGGCGTGAAGAAATAAGGCTGGCTTTGTTTACGGCTGTTTCATTTGTTAGGTCACAAGGTTGCTGAAGTAATCGGGAACCAGTGGCGGCTGCGGGAAAATAGCTACCACAACAGGGCACAGGCACAGGAGGGATGGTTCCTCTGCAAATACGTGGTGTATTTCATTTGCCATTTGAATTTATTTTTAATCAGAAGGGGACTGACACAGGCAGAGGAGTGAAGGATCACACTACAGATCTTTAATTTCTTAAGCTGTTTTGTCATTAACCGCTGTTGGAAATGGGAAATGGCTTAGGTCAATATTTTAACCAAGCCAGCAGATAGGAGGACATCCTTGCTGTCAGCCCCAAGCTTAAAATAAGCATGGCCAAGAGCACAGTATGAGCCACGGGGAGGCAAACAGCAGCACTCCCAGCTCCCAAGTGAGCCAGAAAAGCAATTTTCTGCATGGAATGCTCTAAGTAATAAAGTATCATTTTTGTAGCTCCACTAGCAGTAATGAAAACCCTGCCTGTGAAGGTTGTGTCTTTTTTTTTTTTCTTTTTTTTTTTTTTTTTAATCTGATGTCTCCAAAGAACAAACAGGCCCTGGACTTCACCACATGGGGAAAACTAAAGCTTATTCTCTTTTTAGTGACATTTTAGCCTGTGGAACATGAATTTAATGAGAAGACTCCTGTCAGCTGGCTCCCGTGTTGCATTTAAACATAATTCATTTTTTTCCTACTAATGCCGC